AATTCGCACATGATTGAACGATACGGAATATTACAATAAATTAGTCCAAATATCTAACTATATTACTCACACTATTAACTAAATTGCTGCATTAGTTAACCAAAATTACATTTGAACAAAATGTCTATTGTATAATTTGAAATTATTATTTTTTAACTTTATCATTATAACAAACTTTTATTACCACGTAAATAAAAATAACATGGGCGTATATCTGTACAATAATGCTAATATCGATGAATTATATTTTATGCTTTTTGCACATTCCTAGACCTAACTGTCAGTTTAATTGTCTCTTTATAAAAATTCCTTATCATTTAAATTGTTTATAAACTATGCGAATGTGGTTTAAAATCAAATATTTTAAGTCTTAATTAATATATTCAGACTTTTTTGTGTTTGATTAATGAATTAAGTTTTGCTTATTTTGATTAATAACTACTGATATAATCTAAGACATAATTATCAGATAAATTAATGAGATTTTTTATTCGTTGAAATAACGTTTGATAGTATTTTATATATTGTTATAAATAGTAATGTTATCTGCAATTGTTTTATAGACTACTTTACGGATATTTAGTTGACAACTGGCTTAGGGTCTCAAGTATTTTCATACAATTAAGTATATAAAACAAAATATATTAATAAATAGCATTTTTTGATCAAAACAAAAATCATAATATAAGCACTCGTGAAATTGAAATCAATAAACTGCTTAACAGCAAAAATTTATTACATTTCCCCCCAATTGATTGATTCCGGTATTACTGTTAATAGTTGTGAACGCATTTTTCTATACTTATAAAAAATGTAATACCAATTTATAAATAAACTGATTATCGTTCCCATTATAAGCTTAAGCTATTTATATTTCTCATTATTTCGGGAAAAACGCAATTTTTAAAAAACCTTTCAATTGACTAAACATTTCTCATAATATAAAACAAGATTTAGTTCTTAATTAATTATTTATTTTATAAAATAGAAATTTTATTGGAATAAGATTTCATTACAACAACTATTACAGGAATTGCTGTGCATTTTGTTTTCACTACTATTTTATTATAATAATTACTAACATATAAATTAAATGTTTAAAAATTTTAAGTTTAAAATTAATAATAATTAGTAGATAATTAATGACAGATATAATGCACAAAACTACAGAATAAAAATTGGATTTTTGGACACAAAATCCAAATCTAACGCATGTTTAATGTAAGGAAAATAATAAACAATTAAAGCTAATAAAAAACAATCGATCGCAAAATGTGTACAAATATTAAATCAATAGTCAACTTATTGTCGGGAAGTGTCATGTAATATAAAGTATAATTGCATTCATTTTGAATACATTGAAGTCTTTTATAAATTGAATTGAAGTACACGACAGTTGTTGTTATGAATTGCATTAATTCACAAGTGGTTTGAATTATAAAATAAAAAATCATTTTATTTTAATTACAAAAATCCTAATTATAATAACATTTTTGCAAATTTATTATTCTGTCGCAAAAACATGACTCAATTAAATCATGTAAATTATAGGTATTTTATTACTTAAATTATCTTTGGCTTAATTTAATACAAATTTTTAAATCATCTTTTGATTATTAAAAATTAATTAATTAATTTTAAATTATTCTTTCCTTATGGATATTTGTGTTATTGAATACTCTGATATAAATTACTAGATTATACAAGTGGCTTTATAACATGGTTTTTAAAAACTTTGACTTAATGTCAATTTTGATTTTTTTAAATGCATTTAAAATGCATTACATTTACATTAATATATTGTTGTAAATGTAATATATTGTTGAAAAGTATGAATTGTTAAACGGTTTTAACCAAATTATTATCTCTAAAATGGCCAACACTTCCCTTCGATATAGTTATGTGTTTGAATTTGAACGCAATTTTAACTACAATTACACCACTAAATGGATGTCCGAGAATTGGATGACCAGCTTTTATTTCATCACAACTTATTTGATGATTATATTTGGTGGACAACAATGGATGAAAGATCGGGAACCTTTTAAATTACGATCGACGCTATTCTTATGGAATCTACTTTTGGCCATTTTTTCCATCACTGGAACCGTTAGGTAAAGCTTTATAATTAGCCGCAAATTAATTATTTTACAATTCAATTCAATTTACAATTGAGATTTACTGAATAACTGGAGGAATAATCCAAATTCTATATCCATTTGTAGAGTAATGCCGGAAATATTATCTGTGATACGAGAACAGGGATTCTTTGACTCGGTTTGCGATAACGGATACATAACACGAGTGAATGTGTCGAGTCTATGGACGTGGCTATTCGTTGTGTCCAAAGTGCCAGAATTGGGCGACACTTTGTTCATTGTTTTACGCAAACAAAAGCTCATTTTCCTTCACTGGTATCATCACTTGA